AAATAAATAAATAAATAAATAAAATAAATAGTAAATGACCCCCAAAATCTGTACAAATGATGCAAATAATTCACAGGATCATCACCACTACAAACCAGCAAATCATGGACCTGCCAGGGTTTACTAAAACCTGTGCAAACTATACTACTGAGAACGTGGCTGCATAGTGGTGCTCACTATGGCTGAGTTGCTCATAAATGTGCTTGCCAGGAGATGTCTTATAATCTGAATTTCTCACATATCATAATTCCCATGAGTCTCACGGGACCATCTTACGCCATAACTTTAAAAAATCAGACAGACGTGGGCAGGAGAGAAGCTAAGGAAAGTATCATTTCTTTGGTTTCCTCACCTTTCATAGAAACCATCAACAGCTACTGTCTGAAGATGATAAAAATAAAGACATATGCATATGGTTAGACAATTGTATGAACATATGTATCAGATGGAAAACACACACAGCAACACAAATACCCATCGCAAAAGAAGAAAACAAAGGAAGTATTTATAATGAAGTCATTTAAAATAAACATGAGCGTAACTCCCCGAGTGACCTCCCTAAATAAATAGCAGCACTCCTTCCCATAACCATGCTCCTTATTCCTATTTTCCTACTTTATTTTTTTTCCACAGCACTTAACCACCACCATTGCATATTTATTTGTTGTTATTCTTATAATTTTTCACCTCTCCTAACTAGAAGTCAATTCTACGAAGGCAGAAATTCTATTTTGTTCACTGCTGTATCCCAGCATTTAACATCATAGTTGGTATAACTGTCAGTGCTCAATAAGTACTTTTTAAAATAAATGTATGAGTAAAAACAGAAAACTGATACAAAATGAAACTACAGAAATGAAGCCAAACAAAGATAACATAACAATAAATGTGAATAAAACAAATTCAGTTATTCAAAGGAGAATAATCACACTATGGGTCAAAAACATTAACCAAATACAATATACTGGTTAAAATATGTAAGCTCTGAAGTAAAAATGCAAATTTGATTTCCAAATCAAAGGTCTTATCAATCCTCTTTTAAGATGACATTCTGAGGCTACAGGTGGCTAATCTGTGTAAAGCAAGACACAGAAAAGTGCCCAGTACATGGTGCACAGTCAGTAACTATTAGGGGCAATGGTAAAAGCAGAAGTGAGCTTGGTTGTATCAATGGTGACAGCAGTGGTAACTCAAACCAAATGACTTCATAGGGTTACAATGAAAAGCATCAGTGTCAATCAGAATGGCTGTAATTAAAAAGTCAAAAAATAACAAATGCTGGTCAAGTTGCAGAGAAAAGGGAACACTTATACGCTGTTGGTGCAAGCGTGAATTAGTTCAGCCATTGTGGAAGACAAGACAGTGTGGTGATTCCTCAAAGATCTAAAACCAGAAACACCACTCGACTCAGCAATCCCATTACTGGGTATACACCCAAAGGAATATAAATGATTCTATCATAACGACACATGCACATGTATGTTCATTGCAGCACGATTCACAATAGCAAAGACATAGAGTCAACCTAAATGCCTATCGATGGTAGACTGGATAAAGAAAATGTGGTACATATATGCAATGGAATGCTACGAAACCATGAAAAAGAATGAGATCATATCGTTAGCAGGAACAAGGGTGGACCTGGAGGCCCTTATCCTTAGTAAACTAATGCAGGAACAGAAAACCAAGTACAGCATGTTCTCACTTATAAGTGGGAGCTAAATGATGAAAAACATGGATACATAGCGGGGAACAACACACACTGGGAAGGGAGTGTGTGGAGGAAGGAGGAGGAAGGAAGGAGGGAGAGGAGCAGGAAAAATAACTAATGGGTACTAGGTTTAATACTGAGTGATGAAATAATCCGTACAACAATCCTCCATGATACAAGTTTACTTACGTAACAAACCTGCGCATGTACCCCTGAACTCAAAATAAAAGTTAAATAAAAAAGAAAAAGAATCTGTTATCATGACAGTGTAAAAGACTGAATCTGATGTGGTCTGGAGACTGTGAGAAACATTCTCCAAGGAAATTATGTTTAAGCTAAGACCTGAAGGATAGATGGGGACTAGTCAGGCAAAGAGCAAGACAGTGGGCAGAGAAAATGGAAAACGAAATTTGTGTGTGTGGTAGGGGAGGAGAGGAATAGCATTTAAGGCATCAGCAACAGCACGTGTGAGCGGAATACATTGCAGAGAAGTGCCAAATACTCCAGCCTCGGGAAAAAGTCTCATCCCCACAGCACACACTTTAGTTAACAGACACTGCAATGGGAATTTTTGTTGTTAATGTATTCAATTGACTTAACAAATACTTATGTCAGCCCTTATGTGCCAGGCACTCTATCAGATGCTGGGGATAGAACCAAGGTATGCAGAGCCCCTTGGCTTCACGGAGCTTACAGTGGGAAATTTTTTAAAGTAAATGATAGGCACACTGGGTTTTACTATGAAAAATAGCAGAGTGCCACAGAAGCGTACAGCAGGTAAACCTAATTTAATTCTGGGGTCCAAAAATTATCCTAGAAAGTGTAACTTTTAGGAGAACACTCAAAGGAAAATTAATTGCTCTTAAGGTGAGTGAGGAGGAATGAACAAAACATTTGTGAAGGTATTGAGGTAAAAGAAAATGCAGCAGTAGAGCATTTGAAAGAAATGCAGTATGTCTGAAACAAAGAGAACCAGAGAGAGAGGGAGAGCAAGAGTGTGAGAGAGAGAGGTGCAAGCAGAGAGAAGCTGGAAAGAGACAAGGCATGATAGCCTGCATTAAGAACTATATTTTCAGTTGGGCGCAGTGGCTCATGTCTGTAATCCCAGCACTCTGGGAGGCCGAGGCGGGCAGATCACGAGGTCAGGAGTTCGAGACCAGTCTGGCAAACATGGTGAAACCCCCATCTATACTAAAAATACGAAAATTAGCCAGGCGTGGTGGCGGGCACCTGTAATCCCAGCTACTTGGGAGACTGAGGCAGAATTGCTTGAACCGGGAGGCGGAAGTTGTGGTGAGCTGAGATCATGCCACTCCACTCAAGCCTGGGCAACGGTGTGAGACTCCGTCTCAAAAAAAA